GGGAGGGGGTGGGGGGTGGGAAGCCCAGGGCGGAGGACGAGGGGGGGCCTCAGTCTCGGGGGGCTGGTCTCCGGGGACGCCGGGCCGGCCCCCTTACCCTGTCCGGGGGTTAAGGACTCGAGAGGTGGATTTCCCCGCTCCCCCTCCCGAAGCTATGCGCCCCCCCATCTCGGCCCAGCCCTGCCGGTACGCAGCCCAGCTCTGGTCCCGCCTGTCTGCGGCGAGAGGGCGGGGGCGTCTCCTCGGCCCGCCCACGGGCAAGGTCAGCTCGCAGCTGGCGGAGCCGCTGGGGTGCGACCCCAGGCAGCGGAAAGCGACCGACAGAACCCCCAGGATGGGGGTGCGGGCGCGGCCATGCTAGTGGAAACATAACCTACCCTCCCCAACTCCAAGCCTTTCTTTGGGAAGGGGGGGGGCAGGCAAAGCCCAGAGCACTGTCCTCCCACCCCAGTGTCCTTCAGTACTCAGAGACCCGCTGGAGAGGACTGGGCGCTCTAGAGACGGATGGGGAGAAAGGAAGGGGTGCCCGAGCCCTGAGCGCCGGGCGCTCACCCGACGCGCTTCCTTTGGCTTCCAGGTGTAGCGCCCCCGCGCGGCGCGGGCGGCCGGGCGTCTCCAGCATGACCGGCCAGAGCCTGTGGGACGTGTCGGAGGCCAACGTCGAGGATGGAGAGATCCGCATCAACGTGGGCGGCTTCAAGAAGCGGTTGCGCTCGCACACGCTGCTGCGCTTCCCCGAGACGCGCCTGGGCCGCCTGCTGCTGTGCCACTCGCGCGAGGCCATCCTGGAGCTCTGCGACGACTACGACGATGCCCAGCGCGAGTTCTACTTCGACCGCAACCCGGAGCTCTTCCCCTACGTGCTGCACTTCTACCACACCGGCAAGCTGCACGTCATGGCGGAGCTCTGCGTCTTCTCCTTCAGCCAGGAGATTGAGTACTGGGGCATCAACGAGTTCTTCATCGACTCCTGTTGCAGCTACAGCTACCACGGCCGCAAAGTGGAGCCCGAGCAGGAGAAATGGGACGAGCAGAGCGACCAGGAGAGCACCACGTCCTCCTTCGACGAGATCCTGGCCTTCTACAACGACGCCTCCAAGTTCGACGGGCAGCCTCTGGGCAACTTCCGCAGACAGCTGTGGCTGGCGCTGGACAACCCCGGCTACTCGGTCCTGAGCAGGGTCTTCAGCGTCCTGTCCATCCTCGTGGTGCTGGGGTCCATCATCACCATGTGTCTCAATAGCCTGCCAGACTTCCAGATCCCTGACCGCCAGGGCAACCCCGGCGAGGACCCCAGGTTCGAAATCGTGGAGCACTTCGGCATCGCCTGGTTCACCCTTGAGCTGGTAGCCAGGTTTGCTGTGGCCCCCGACTTCCTCAAGTTCTTCAAGAATGCCCTAAACCTGATCGACCTCATGTCCATCGTCCCCTTCTACATCACGCTGGTGGTGAACCTGGTTGTGGAGAGCACGCCTACCTTGGCCAACTTGGGCAGGGTGGCCCAGGTCCTAAGGCTGATGCGGATTTTCCGCATCTTAAAGCTGGCCAGACACTCCACTGGCCTCCGCTCCCTGGGGGCCACCCTGAAGTACAGCTACAAGGAGGTGGGGCTGCTTATGCTCTACCTCTCGGTGGGGATTTCCATCTTCTCCGTAGTGGCCTATACCATCGAAAAGGAGGAGAACGAGGGCCTGGCCACCATCCCCGCCTGCTGGTGGTGGGCCACCGTCAGTATGACCACCGTAGGGTACGGGGATGTGGTCCCGGGGACCACGGCAGGGAAGCTGACCGCCTCTGCCTGCATCCTGGCAGGTATCCTGGTGGTGGTACTGCCCATCACCTTGATCTTCAATAAATTCTCCCACTTTTATCGGCGCCAGAAGCAACTTGAGAGCGCCATGCGCAGCTGTGACTTCGGAGATGGAATGAAGGAGGTCCCTTCTGTCAATTTAAGGGACTATTATGCCCATAAAGTTAAATCCCTCATGGCGAGCCTGACGAACATGAGCAGGAGCTCGCCAAGCGAACTAAGTTTAAATGATTCCCTACATTAGCTGGGAGGGCTTGACATCCTCAAACACACATTGCTGAGCTGTCTCTTGTGCCTCTGGCACAGTCCAGGTACCCTAGGGTTATGGCGTGAGGAGTATGCCCAGCCCCAGAGGGGAGAGAATGCATGGGATCTGCACCTCAGGCTGCTTTTCCAGTATTTAGGGTCATTTTTCGAGGCTGGTGTGTCTGACGCCATGCCTTCACACCTTTCAGTGAAATGACACTCACTGGTCTTCGCATCGTGGGCATAAAATGTTCACCTTTCTGCCGGATGAGTACCACCTCGGATGCTAATCTCTCTGTTCATTGTGCTCTCTTGTCTAGTGCTCATGGCCCAGGACTGTCTCTGATTGTGCTCCTGTTTCTGAGGTTGTCACGTGAGTTCCGTACAAAAAGCCCCCACAAATAACGTCCCGTGGAAGCACACCTGTGGGGCCTGCAAGGATAGGATGAGGTTTTGCTCACAGTCAGGTGAAAACAAAATCTCAATTCTTTATCCATTGCTTTCATTTAGTTTTAATATCAAGCAAAGAGAATGTGAAGTTAAGTAGACATGACTGATTCAAGTCTGTGAGTTGTTTTTGTCAATGACCTGTAGCCTTGTGACTTGCATGGGTACCCTGCTCCCCTTTCAAATGATGTACACCCATGTTCACCTCTTAAATGTTGCTCTTTAGAGAATGTTATTTTGTTAAACATGTAGTGAAGATTGAAAATTTCCCCAAGAATAGATGCATTAGGGCTAGGGACTTCAGCTAAACATAGGCCAAATCGCATGATGCTTGAAGATCTTTCAGAATCAGGCCTCCTTCTTTCCTGGGTGGCTGCAGGGACATTTATTTCTTGCTGAGGTTGCTGGTCTAGGTCATTTGACCAAACTTTGCTGTGTCTTAGCTATTAGCATGTTTCTGATATGTTTCTTTTTTAAGGTGTTTAGAAATAAGATCGTGTTGTCTTTCTCAACTAACAAGTTCACTGTTGTACTGTCTTTCTGAGGCAAACATTGTTGGGCTGCTAGCAAGGGCAGTAGCTTAGAAAATTTTGTTACCTACTCTGAAAGCTTAGATAAAGCTTTTATTTCCAAGCAGAGTTTACTTAGATAATTTTGCTTCTAGGGTACAGTATATAACACACAATGCTCTAACCGCCCCAGAGTTCCTGGTATGACACGGACACCTGGTGGTATGGAAGTGTGTACTCAAAATAGAGACAAGTGGCTTATCCAGGATGGAAATATTACAGTTCTTATTTCCATTTCATCTGCCTTCTGTTGGGGGGAAGGTTGGTGGAGGCCAGGAGAAAGGAAAGAGTTGTGAAACAAAAAAGCATTGTTAATAAAATGTCATAAATAATTGCAAACTTCTTGAAAAGCTTGATGCTATTTTAAAGGCCTTTAAACTTTCAAACTCGGGTTGAAGGTTAGGAACTCTTTCCTTTTCCAAAATGCTTTCCCTCCTTCTTCTTCAGTTAACCAGCATGTAGCATTTTGAAGGGTTAACTTGGATAGTTCTCTGTTATATTCTAGGTAATCAGATGGTGTTCCAGTTGGCCTCCGTTGTTGTTCTTCTTTGGAAAGGCTACAGAATCCAGCGGTCCACACGTGAAGTCAGGCAGGCTTTTTCTCAAGGGCTTGGATCTTCCTTAAAAAGGTCCATTTGTGTCTTAGTTGGTTGAAGGTAGTACATACCCCTCAGATAGAGTGAGGATCTTGTCAGAGGCTTTGTGTCCTTGTAGTTGCCATGGCTACTGCAGAGGGGGCCATTTGTTGGATGAATGCACTAGTCACTTACACCTTTGGGTCCCCAGTTCAAATCTTTCCATCAGACTGGAGCCTCGTAGGGAGCGCGGAGGCAGCCACCTCCTAGTGCTACCTGATCGACCATCTACTCTGTTTTTCAGGAATATCAGGAAAAGTGAGATGCCTTAGGGGTAAAGAGCCGTCAAGTGAGAAGAACAGGGTTATTTCTCAGATTTGCACACGTAGCACTTGGCTTTGGCTGATGTTTGCGGCACTGGAAGGCAGAGAATTTGTGAAATCATCTCCAGCTGCACTGAGGCAGGTGATGGTAAAACTCGTGAAGACTGTTCAGTTTGCCAAGGCTGATGGCATTGGGTCACTGAGCATGGTATCCACCACAGTCACTGAGATAAAACTTGTGAAAAGAGGAAGCAAGGCAGGAGGCTGAATAGCTCAGTCACTCTCCTCAGTATTCTTTTGAAACAGGAAGGTTTTTACCACTGAAACAGAGATGCTTCTAGTGGTTACTCTTTGCTGATGTGAAAGCTGGAAAACTTGACTTTTCATTTCGGTGATGACTTGCATTATCTGGTGCCTTTCATTGGGGGAATCCCAAAGTGCTTTAGAGACTGTCTTTTTAATATCTTTTGTACATATATATATATATACATATATACTCTTATAAAATATTATTTTGCCCATCCTGGAATTTCAGTCACTTCCGAGCATGAGAATAGCCTAATAACACTGAGGACTCCAAGCAGTGGTTTCAGATAAGAGGGTGAGAGACCAACCCAGCTGGCTTGAACACTGGAGCTAATTCCCACAGAGAATGGAGATGGAACTCTGATCCAGGGAGAAAGAGCCCTTCCTTTCTCACAAAGTAGCACTGAGGTACCTGGTACGTAGTTCATGAGAGCTCTCGGCGGGGCTTTGATTAACCTGGTCAGATAACATTTGATGGGGCAGTTTCTTCGGGTCCCTGAAGCTATTCGGTGCAGGAAAGGGGATGGGGGTCAGGTGAATTTTCTGTTCTGTTTCTGGAGTTGAGAATATGATTATGAGCTGACAGCTTTGGCCACCAGGCTGCCAGACTGACCCATCCACCCCCTTTGGAGGACACAGTCGGAGCTTCAGAGCACCTGTGTCCAGCCGTGGGCTTGAGAACAGCTTCACAGCCAACACTTGAAGGTTATTCTTTTCAACGCCATCGGGACAAAGATATAGGTCATGCTTTTCTTGAAATGTATGTGATGAGCATTTTGAAAGCGCTGGCTGGGAAGTGACACTGTGTCTTTACTGCATAGATGCATGTTGGTTATTGTCCAGTGTCTTCTGTCAACCCCCTACATTTCCTGGCTTTGTTACCAAGGAGGGGCATGTTGTAATGCCGAGCTGTTGTGTAGCTCCTAAGGTAGTAATTGGCATTTACCGCTTGGATTTGTTATTTCTACTCGTCTTAGTGTTCAAATAATAGAACTACCTGCTAATTCTTGCCTCACTTCGAAGAAAATGGTATGTTATGCACTTTGGGATAGCCATGATCTGTACAGGCTGTGTGTTATCTACTTGAAGGCTTAACTAGTATTTCTTGTATGTTTTAACAGCATGACTTGTTACAGAGTTGTAATTTTAAAAAATCAAGAACGCTGTATTTGTGCTGTCAGTTTGAACACTCATTAACGCGCTACTGTGCGGGCATTGATGCAAGCCCGAGGAGCCCTTCTGTGTGGTGGCTGCGTTTTAGCCTCTGCCTCTCGACTCAGCAGTGAGGGGCAACACTGACACGCTCAGGACTCCAGCCTCAAAGAGGATGAGGATTAAATAGAAAATGATTGCTGACACCCCCTTAGGGCACTTCAGTTACACATGGAGTGGCAAACACAACAAGGGCGTTTGACGCTGGGAACCAGATTTCCTGAGAAAGACTGGGCTTTTTGAGCATTTGTTGGGAAGGAAGAGGTGTTCATTCTTCTTTGGGGGTATGGAGAGGTGGGGTCCCCTTTTCACCGGGACCTGGAGCGACCCGCCTGCTTTGCAGTGGGAATAGTTACGAATTACTGGAGCCCCTGGAAACAGACACCCCTGGTGGGGTTTGCCCCTCCCTTCCTGTCTCATTCGCTACTACCGACAGGCCTGCCAGTGCCAACCTCACCCCACCAGGTTGCCATGCCCCCGACTGCTACAGTGCCTCTCTGGCAGCAAGTTGGGGTCCTGGGTAACCTGAGTGTTCTGGCTGGTTTGCTGTGACTATTGCTGGGGGAATTGGCCCTTGGCATCTACTTAGCCCAGTACTGACCTAGCCTGTGGGGCTTCCCCTGTGGCTCAGTGGTAAAGAATCTGCCTGCAATGCAGGAGATGCAGGTTTGATCCCTGGGTCGAGAAGATCCCCTAGAGGAGGGCCACCCACTCCAGTATTCTTGCCCGGCAATCCCACGGACAGAGGAGCCTGGCAGGCTAGAGTCTGTGGGATCTCAAAGAGTTGGACACAGTTGAATGACTGAGCATGCGTGCATGCGTGACCTAGCCTATGAGGCATTCTGAAGGCCACCTGAACCTGTAGGGAGGTCCCTGGGCTAACTGGGCTTTGCTCCCAGTTTTGCCTTCAACTCTGTGATCTTAGGCACCTCACTTGACCTCTCTGAGCCTCACATCCCCCTACTGCAAAATGAGGAGCCTGGATTAGATCAACCTTAAAGCCCTGCCCAGTTCTTCATCTCGATGTAAACACAGAATTTCTGCATGGTGCTCCACGTCCTTCTGCTAGCACCGAGTGGAACTCAGTAGCCTTAATTTATTTTTAACAAAGCAGAGGGACTGCTCTGTTTGCTTCCATTTCTCTTCCCAAAAGCCAACCACAACAGACAACGATGTCAGGGACAACGATACCAGAGAAAATACTTGGGCTGGTGTCTGTGTCGGGGAAATAGAGGTTTAAAAGAATCAAGGCAGTTTCCTGTGGCTTTTAGGCTATTGACACCAAATCCAAATTCCTGCTATTAAAAATCACTAGAGAGGAAAATCCCATTGATCTCATGTGGCTTCAGGGCTAACACTGCCCATTTATGTTTGCTGCCTCTGTGAAGCCCAGCGGGTCCCCCAGCCAGTTCCCATGAGGTTGCTGGGCCCCGATCTGGACAAGGGCATGTGGGCTGCCCGCCTCCCACATTAAGTTCTCTCTGAGGGGCAGTGGCATCTGCGAGTGTCCCCTTCTGTGTAACCTCCAGAAGGGTGTGCCAACAACCTGGTCTCATCTCATGACAGCTGGAGAAGGCGACTGACAATCCAGCATGGAGAAGGTGCTCACAGCCACCACAGACCCTGTGTTCCCACCACACAGGTGTCCTCTCTCCAGCAGGGGTGTACCTGGATGTTCAGGGATATTTGGGGGGATTCCTTGCCTTCTAAAAGGAAAAAAAAAAAGACTTCCTCTTAAGGGAAGAACTTAAATACTGCATTTGCATGGTTATTATCTTCTCTTATTTTTAGGAGGACTTTTAACCAGCGTTTCCACCCAAGGACCTTATCTGGGTATCAGATTCAGTTAATAGTGTAGACCTGAAAACAGGCAGCATCTTCTTCCTTCTGTGACCTCATTTGTCAATATCATCACCCTTCTGGTGAAATTCTCCAAAGCAAAGGACTTTGTCTGCTGGTGACAAGTCAATGCTTTCAGAAGAACATCCACACAAACAATAAAATGGGAGGAGAAGAGGGCAGGTGTGCCCAGGAGCTAGTGCAAGTTCCTGCAGAAGAAAAAAGGGAATAGGAAGAAACCAGGGAAAAGAGGAAAAACAAAAGAGGGTACAGAAGGAGAGAGTGAATACAAGAAAAGGCAGAGATGAAGGAAGTGAAAGAGCAGTCAGTTAGGGAGGCTGAGAGAGGCTATGTTTAATGCAGTTATTTCAGGCCTTCCGTTGAATTCATTTTATTTCCAGGCAACAAAACAGGCTCTGAGTCCAACAGTGGCCTCCTGGGAAGTAACTATTTCTGGAGGCAACTCCCACCCCACCCCCCAGCCCCTCCCCTCCCCTCCCCACCAAAAGGGTTCATGGTCTGCTAGAAGAGAGAGATGGAAAGTACCGAAAGCCTTTGGCATGAAGAAGGCAGTGAGGACACACAGCAAGGAGGGGTGAATAGTGCCTCTTGAAGATGGGTCTTCTGGTTACAAATAGAAAGAGGACCAAATGGTGGCCAGAGGTGGTGGGGCAAGTCAGGAACTGAGAAGTGGAGGGAAGGGAAGGGAAAGAAACTTCCATGCCCAGGGACCCGCACCAGCAAAGACTCGGAGACCTCCCTGGCCAGCGTGTGTGAGACACATGTGAGCCGGTGTGGTGGAAATGAAGTGTGCTGCAAAACCAGCCCACGGCAAAGCCGCCAAAAAAGCTTGGGCGTCATTCTTTTGTCACGGGGTTGGGACACCCTGACCAGCTAATGCTGTTGGGACAGGACCCTGGGTACAGCTTGGAGGCCTGGGAGGGGCTGGGAGACATGCCTGAGGTCACTGCCATAGCACAAGCCAGCTACAAAGGAAGCAAGCTGGAGAAGAAGGGGCAGAACGAGCTGCTTACCGAACTCCATCGACTGCTGGATGTGGGGAAGAGAGATGGAGGGCTGGGATGGCTTCTGGGTTCAGGGGAGGGAGACGGTGCACCAAGAGAGGCTGGGAATACCTGGATCCGTCCCCGAGCTGGAGTCGTGTTGCCGGCTGCCTGGGCAACAGGCAGACAGAGCTTGGGACTCCTCCGCAGAGAATGGAAGCTGAGGCCATAGGTGAGGTTACCTGGGAAGTGAATGGAGAGACACAGAAGAAAGAAAAGGTTCCTGCGGAAGACCAGTATCCGAGGGGCAGCCACAGGGATGATGAAGTCCATGGCCTTGCCTTTCTCTGCCGGCTCATTAGAGCTGTCGTCCTATTTCTCTGCTTCCTCCTGAGAAATCCCCGGAGGGCAAACTCTGCCGGCAGCAGCTTCAGCTTTCCTCTTGATCTGCTTCCTTGTTTTATCTCTGTGATTGGCTTCTGTTCCCATCACTCTTTCCAAACCGCCCTCTTGAAGGCCACCAGGGGCATTCCTGGTCGCCAAGGCGGTGACCCATAGCTCATCAGGTTCCCCATAGACAACCTCTCCGTTCTCCGCCCTCCCTCCTCATTTTGGACCCTGCACTGTGGCTTCTCTGGGCTCTGCCTTTTCCTATCACACCCCCACTGGGTCTTCGTCCTCTTTATTGACCCTCTTCATCAAGTATGTCCCCCAGACTTCGGTCCAGCAAGCCACAGCCGTAACCAGTGTGGAGGTGTCAACCTGCCTGGCCCCATGTCACTTCTGGGGTCCATGCACATTACCCATGGGCATTTGGAAGTCACCATTTCTAGCTCCCGTGTGGCTCAGGTGGTAAACAATCTGCCGGCAACGCAGGAGACCTGGGTTCTATCCCTGGGTTGGGAAGATCCCCTAGAGAAGGGAAAGGCTACCCACTCCAGTATTCTGGCCTAGAGAATTTCATGGACTGTCTAGTCCATGGGGTCACAAAGAGCTGGACACAACTGGGTGACTTTCACTTTAATTTCTAGCTCCATATATCCACCCCGAGCTTCCTCTTCCTCCTGCCTTCTCTTTCACATCTGTTAACGGAACCTCGGTGCTCTCAGCCACTCAGATTGAGATTTCAATTCATCTGTGAATCTTCTCCATTGAGTTAGCTGCTCACTCACCATAGTAAGCACTTCTTGACAGCTGACTAATTGCCAAGAACCATATTAGAAGCAAGGGTGATATAGGTAAAGGGCATTGCTCCTGACCTCTCAGCAGTGTAGACTTTATAGTTATTTTATTGTGCATCGGAATCATCTGAAAGTGAAAGTGAAGTCGCTCAGTCATGACTGACTCTGCGACCACATGGACTGTAGCCTACCAGGCTCCTCCATCCATGGGATTTTCCAGGCAAGGGTACTGGAGTGGGTTGCCATTTCCTTCTCCAGAGGATCTTCCTGACCCAGGGATTGAACCTTGGTCTCTCACATTGGAGGCAGACACTTTACCATCTGAGCCACCAGGGAAGTCCTTGGAATCATCTGGGAAGCTTTTAATAGTGCAGATTCCTGGGCATGACTCCATCTACAAAATCAAACTCTTAGGAGTGAGCCCCAGGAATTTACACTCTTAAGCTCCCAGGTGATTTTGATGCAAGTGGTTTTCAGACCCACATGGAGAAACACCCGGGTCTCAGGGGTACCCCTTGCAGAACTCTCACTGTCCCTCCATCACTCGCACACCATCTTGGACAGCAAGTTTAATCATTGCTTTCTTCACAGGATCTCACACATTGGTCCCTTCATATTCATTCTAAAGGCACCAGCCCCACCTCAGTCCTTAACTCACGTTTTGTTCATTTCCAGCAGACTCGTGTCCATTCCCTTCCAGTCCATCCTTTTCTGCAACCCCCTCTCCTAGGCTCATCTCTCCCCTTCCTGTACGTTAGACCTATTGGTGACTTCTTCATAAGCTGGTGCTGACGTTCAAAATAAGTACCACAGATGTTAAGGGTCACAGCTGGGGAGGTGAAAAGTCTGCATGGATCCATCAAGGCTCTAGACAGAGAAAAGGGCCCATTTAGAAAGGAGTGCCTTTCAATGGGGCAACCAAGGACAGGTGA